GGCCCGGGGGGGCCCGGGGGGCACTCGAGGGGCGGGGCGAAGACGCGGAGGAAATGCCCGGGGAGGAGGGGGCCCCACAAACCCTCGGGAATGCCCACAGTGTACAGACACCTCAGATGCCGTGGCCCGCCCTGGGCGCGCTCTAAACGCAACGCGATACTCCTCCCAACAGCTCGCTGCTGCTGCTGCAGGCAGCTACCTGCTGCTGCTGCTGCTGCTGCTGGCTTGCTGCGGCTGGCGCTGGTCAGCCACAGCGAGCTGCAGCTAGCTGTGGCTAGCTGTGGCTAGCTGCAGCTAGCTACTTGACATAGTATATGTGCAAATTTTAAGTCCAGACACAGGAAGGGCGGGGGCCCCTTAGTGCGGAGGCCCTGCTGCTGCTCCCGCAGGAGACTCTCCTTTGTCTCTATTGCTCACAATTTATAAGACCCGAGCAGCAAACTTCCTTGTCCAACTTTAGCTGCTGCAGCAGCAGCTGCTGCTGCACCTGCTGCTGCCCCACAGCCCCTCGCGTCCGCTGCCACGGCGCCTCGTATACGCAACTCTAGGGTTTACGGTTCAGGGTTTAGGGTTTCGAGTTGCGCAGAGGCTAGCCTGACCCGACCAGCAGCCGAGTGCGATCAGTTCAGGTGCTTCTGCTGCTTGCTGCTGTTGCTGCTGCTGCTGCTGCTGCATAGGGAAGCAGCAGGAAGCCCCACATTTCTCTGTGAACTTGGGTGGTATGTCCAGCCTACAGCTGCTCAAGTGCCGCATCTAGACAAGCATAGCTACGCAGTATTGGGCAGCAGCAGAAACAGCAGCAGCAGTAGCAACAGCAGCAGCACCAACAGCTGCTGCCGCGGCGGCTGCTGCAGTCGGTGCAGCAACGTCAACAGCGGAAGCAAGAGCAGCGGCAACAGCAACAAAACTGTCGTTGAGTGCCTGCATGCGTGCAAAATGCAGACAAGTAAACAGTAACAATAACAAGGGCCACAATAGAAGGAGCAGCAGCAACAGCAGCAGCAGCTAGAGCGGTCCCGGCGGCCGTACGCCGGCGCCGGGTGGCAGCAAGTGTTAACTCGGTTTTTTAGTGATAAAACTGATAAAGTAAGCAGCAAAAAAATAGAATTTCAATTTAATTTAGAAAATAATAACGTATTTCTGGCTAATTCGTGAGATTACTGCGTGAAAAGGGGCTGCAGCCAGCCAGCGAGCAGCCCCAGAGTCACCTCAGCCTAGCAGCGGCAGCAGCAGCAGCAGCAGCAGCAGCAGCGGGAGAAGCAGCCACCGCAGCAACTGCAGACAAAAAGCGAAGCCAGTTGTGGGATCGCTTTGAGGGCTACGGTAGGCACATTTGCTGCTGCGGTGTATGTACACCTGGCTCATTTCAGCCGCTCTTTTTATGCGGCGGGCGCAGCGCTCGCTAGCAGCAGCAGCAGCAGCAGCAGCAGCAGCAAGGCCAACGTAGTGCCGACTTTTTAATTCACCTAGTGCTCTCGGAAGCTGCAGGGCAAGTTCCCTCTTAGCTGCTGCATCTTTCACCTCTGGCTTTGCCTTCGGCCTCAGCAGCCAAACATAGGACTTAAATAAAATAAATTGAAAAAGAAAGCGAAATAATAAAATAAATTTAAAAAGAATAAAACAATTATTTCAAACAACACTGCTCTGCCCAGCCAGCTCGAGCCAAGCGAGCCTGCAGTGATGATGCTGCTGCTGCTCTGCAGTGGCAATGGTGAGCGCCGCAGCCAGCACATCCGCAAGGGCTGCTGCTGCTGCTGCTGCCGCAGCAGCAGCACGTGCCGTAGCTGCAGCGGCAGCACCACGTGCTGTAGCAGCAGCGGCAGCAGCAGCAGCAGCAGGACGTACTGTAGCAGCAACAGCTGCAGTAGGCCACACTAGTGGCATTAAAAGTCGCGAAACAGAAGGAGAGAACCACTTGGCAGCGTCCTGGCTGGCGACCCATGAACTCTGCTGCTGTCTCTGCTGCTGCTGCTGCTGCTGCTGCTGCTGCTTAGGAGACAGGCACGCCAGAAGAAAGCGCAGCCTCCCAGGGCCCCTCAGCAAGCCCCCTTTGGCCAGGGGCCCAACGAATGGCCTCCGCCTTGGGAGAATTCCTTAAGGCGAGCCTTCTAGCTGCTGCTGCAGCTAGCTAGCTAGCTAGCTAGCTAGCTAGCTAGCTACTCAGCCATAGCTCGGCTAGCCAGATAGCTAGCTAGCTAGCAGAAGGGCAACTGGCCAGCTGGCTGCTTGGCTAGTTAGTCCCCTCTAGCACGACTGCCTAGCTAACTAGCTAGCTAGCTAGCTGGCTGGCTAGCCAAGTAGCTAGCTAGCCAACTGTGTAGCTAGCTAGCCACAAGCTTAAGTAGCTCGGCGAATGCTTCTCCCCAGCCCACAGCTTGCGCAGCTATTCTTGCTGCTAAGTCCCTGATTCTTACGCGACTGCTGCTGCTGTTGCTGCTGTTGGTTTGGTGCTGCTGCTGTTGGTTTCGGTGCTGCTGCTGCTGCTGCTGCTGCTGCTGTAGGCAGATAAGCTGTTGGGCGCAGTCGAAGAAGCTGAAGCCACTGCTTTTGTAGAAGACCTCTTGAGAGGTTTGCTGCTGCGCGCTGCAGCAATTCGCCCTCGCCCTGACACCCGCTGCAGCCTTTGCTCCCTCCCGCTGCCGGAGCAGCAGCTGCAGCTGCTGCAGCAACAGGAGGAGGCCCAGCAGCAGCAGCAGCAGCAGCAGGGCCTGGAGCAGCGGGAGCAGCAGCAGGAAGGCACGGGTGAAGAGCCGCAGCAGCAGCAGACACTCCTCCCTCTAAAAAGCAATGAGAGGCTTTGGCTTGACTTGGCACCGGCGGCGGCTTCCTTCCTCAGCACTAGCAGCAGCAGCAGAAGCAGCAGCCCCAGCAGCAGCAGCAGCAGCAGCAGCGAAGAGGACGCTGCTACGCTGCGGCTGCTGCTGCTGCGCCTCTCGTTCTCTAGAATGCTTCAAGAGGGAAGGACAGAACACTTCAGGCCCTGGTACCGCCGCATGCTTGCTGCAGCAAAAGCTGACGCCCTGCGGCAGCTGCAGCAGCAGCAGCAGGAGCAAAGACGCAAGCAGCTGCTGCTGCGGCGGCTCAGGGAGGAGAAGGAGCAGCAGCGCAGGAAGAGGCAGCTGCTGCTGCACCCGCCAGACCCGCCGCCCCACAGACACAGCCATCAGCACAGGCAGCAGCAGCTGCTGCTTCGACAGCAGCAGCAGCAGCAACGCAGATTCAAGGGAAGGCCTCGACACTCGTTAGAGGAAGCCCCTAGTCCTGCTGCTGCTGAAGACTCTTTTGCTTCTCAAGCTTCCGTTGCACTTAGTGTCTGTACGTGATTAGCTGCTGCTGCTGTCGCTGCTGCTGCTGCTGCTGTCGCCGCTGCCGCTGCTTGTGCTGCTGCAGCAAACAGGGCAACCTGGTACTCCCGCGCTGCGGCTCCCGCTGTCTGCAGCCTCAGGCTCCGAACCGTCTTCCTCGAGAAGAGCCTCAGCAGCAGCAATAGCAGCAGCAGCAGCAGCAGAAGCACAAGAGGTCCAGTGGAGCGTAGGTGAGCTGCAGCCGGCAGCAGCAGCAGCAGCAACAACAGCAACAACAGCAGCAGCAACGTCATGCGCAGTCGACAACGGAAACTCTACAGAAGCGGCCTCGCAGCTGGCCTCTCCAGAAGCAGCTGCTTCTGCTGCTGCTGCTGCTGCAGCTGGTGCACGGCGCAGCAGCAGCAGCAGCAGCAGCAGCAAGAACGGCAGCACTGGCAGCAGCAGCAAGAAAAACAACCGGAGCACTGTCGATAGCAACGGCAACAGCAGCGACAACAGGACCAGCAGCAGCAGCACCAACAACTGCAATACTGTCAGCAGCAGCAGCAAAGGCCTGCTTTCCTGCTGCGCACCCAGCAGCAGCAGCAGCAACCCCCGGGCTGCAGCAAAAGGCCTCCCCCCACTCCGCGGGGGCAATGCTTCGCTGCTCTGCCGGCAGCTGCTGCTGCAGCCGCTGCAGCGGCCTCTGGGGGGCCCCAGTGGGCCCTGCAGGACAACTGAGGCCACTGTGCAGCACATGCAGAGGTGGGTTGGCGAGCAGCAGCAGCAGCAGCGGCAGCAGCAGCAGCAGCAGCTGCACAAGACCCGGAGCACGGGTGGGGTGGCGACGCACGGCCGTCAAGGTATGCCCAAAGAGCAGCATCAGCAGCAAGAGCAGCAGCCCCAGCATGAGCATCAGCAGCAGCAAGAGCAGCTGCAGCAGCAACAGCAAGAGCTGCAGCAGCAAGAAGAGGAAGGAGCAGCAAGCTTGTCGCGGAGCTCTGAAGCTGCCTCAGCTGCTTCTGCAGCAGTGCAGCCAAGCTGCGAAGACCCAGCAACCGCAGCAGCAGCAGAAGGCGCTGAAGGCGCGCTGCGCGCGACAGGAGCCGCAGCAGCAGCAGCAGCAGCAGCAGCGGCAGCAGAGGAAGGAACAGCAACAGCAGCAACTTTGCTGCAGCGCATGCAAGCAGCAATTAAAGAAAACTGGAAGGGGGGGGAAGGCCCTTTCTCAATTTGCCTCACCACACCTTTGGCTCAAAGCACCCCCAAAATTCAGCCGCTGCTGCCGGAGCAGCTGCTGCTGCTGCAGCACGCACAGCCGGGCTGCAACACTGTTGCAGTAAGATATACCCTGGCTGCTGCAGCCAGCAGCAGCAGCAGCAGCAGCAGCCGCACTAGAAGCAGCTGCCTATCATGCTCTGTCTCGAGCGGATGTGGCAGCAAATTTCCATGTGATCAATTGCTGCTGCTGCTGCTGCTGTTGCTGCTGCCCTTGCTGCAGACACTCGAGGAGCAGCACCGAATCAAAGCCGCCCAGGCAGCGCAGGTGAACAGCCGGCGTCCAGTGTTTTGCTGCAGCAGCTGCTGCTGTTATTGCTCCTTCTGCTGCTGCTGCTGCTGCAGCGTTTTGCTGCTTGCTGCTGCACGCAGCCCGTAGCAGCCAGAATCCTCCGCTTAGTAGGATGGCTGGCTAGCTATTTGGCTGGCTAGCCAGCCAAATACTTAGCCAGCCAGCCGCTAGCTAGCTAGCCAAACACTTGGCTGGCCATGGCTAGCTAGCTGTTTGGCTGGCTAGCTAGCCAAATACTTAGCTAGCCAGCCGCTAGCTAGCTGACCGACTGGAGCAGGCTGCTAGCCCGCTAGCCGAAGTGAACAGTGCCCCAGTGCAGGGTGTCAGCTGCTGCTGCTGCTGCTGCTGCTTCTGCTATTTCTGCTGTAGCTATTGCTGCAGCTACTGCTGCTGATGTTGCTGCTGCTGTTGCTGCTGCTATTTCTGGCGCTGCTGCTGCAGTTACTGCTGCTGCAGTTGCTGTTGCTGCCGTCGCTGTTGCTACTTCTGCCGCTGCTCCTGTTGCTGCTGCTGTTGCTTCAGCTGGAGCGCCAGCGGGCCATTCAGGTCTTCCACGAGCGCCGGCTTGAAGAGCAAATAGAAATGGTGAAAGTGCTGCTGCAGCGGGAGCGGCAAAACTGCAGCGAGCTGCTGCTGAAGGAGAAAAGAAGAGAACAAAGGGGCCAGCTGCTGCGCCAGCAGCTGGCTGACTACCATCGCCAGAAGCAGCAGAAGCAGCCCCACAGAAGCAGCAGCAACAGCAACGCCAACAGCGGCGCAGGCAGCAGCAGCAACAGCAGAAGCAACATTGCTAATGGCGGCGGCAGCAGCAGCAAGACCAGCACCAACAGCAGCAGCAAGCGCAGCAACAACAGCAGCAGCAAGACACCCTCTTGACTCGCCATTCCACGCTACAAACCCCCACAGAAACGCTGGAAAAAATTTGCCGCTGCTGCTGCTGCTGCTGCTGCTGCTTCATGTCTGCTGCTCTCTGCCACCGCTGCCGCAGCAAATTAGCGCATGCGTGCAGCTGCTTTCGGGCACTGCTGTCTCAGTCTTGTTTGCTGCTTTAGTGAGAAAACACAACTAAATAAATATTTAAGAAATAAAAAGAACTTGACGGGCTCGGGGGCCTCCAGAGGTTTAGGGGGCCCCCAGAGGTTTAGGGGGCCCCCTAGACTCTACAATACCAATAGAGTAGGGGGGCCCCCAGCAGCTAGAAAACCCTAAGGGGCCCCTCAGAACCCAACAGGCTAGGGGGGCCCCCAAGAACAGTGGGGACCCCAAGAGAAGGGGTGCCCCCAAGAGCAGGGGGGCCCCCAAGAGAAAGGAGGCCCCAAAAAGGAGGGGGGCCCCCAAGAGAAGGGGGGCCCCCAAGAGAAGGGGGGGACCTTAAGAAGCGGCCGAAAGGAATTAACAGATTAAATGGGGGCCCCCCGAAGCTGGGGGCCCCCATAGGGTTTAAATAGTTGAGATAAGTTGTGTTGGGGCCTCCAGCTGCAGCAGAAGGCTGCCAGCCAGGAGAGGGGTTTGGCTTCAGCGCTGCAAACGAGAAGAGCAGCAAAAGCTGCAGCAGCAGCAACTTGCTGCAGCAACTTGCTGCAGCAGCAGCAACTTGCTGCTGCAGGCGACCTGCTTGTCTACGGCAAAAAGGTCAGCTTGTCCACTGCACCGCATTCTGCTACTGCTGCTAGCTACGCTGCTGCTGCTGCGGCGGCTACTGCTGCTGTTGTATGCCTGCATCAGCAGCAAGAATGGCAGCAGCTTCAGCTTTGCTGTTGCTGCAGTCACGAAGAGCCACAGGAGCCACGGTGTGTGTACAGCTGATAGCAGATGCAGCAGCAGCAAGAGAAGCTGCTGCGAAGCAGCAGCTACAGAACAAGAATTCAACCGCCAGCATGGCTGCCGTCGTGGTCGCTGCTGCTGCTGCTGCTGCTGCGGCTGCTGCTGCTGGTGCTGCTGCTGCTGCTGCCCTAGCGACTTTTGCTGCCAAGGCGAGTGCGCGCTAAAGCTGCCACCAGCGGGTCATGGTGCTGCAGCCGCACCATGGAGTCTCTTAGAGTCTGAAGAACAGCAGCAGCAACAGCACGAGCAGCAGCAGCAGCAGCATCCCGCAGCAGCATGGGCTATATCAGGCAGCAGCAACAGCTACGATAAATGGAGGCAGCAGCGTGGAGTAAACGGCAGCAGCAGCAACAGCAACAACAAATGACGCACAGCTGCAGCAGCAGCATCGGTTCCACTGCAGCAGCAGCATCGGTTTCGCAGCAGCAAACGCAACAAAAAGCGCCTCATCGGCAGCGTAAGGAGAGTAACAACTGCAGCAGCAGCAGCAGCAGCAGGTGCAGCAGCAGCAGCAGCAGCAATATATTCCCATCGAACCTTCAGCTGATCATCGGTGAAAGAGACGAGCGCAACGCTGTCAGCGGCGCAGCGCAGGAGCCGGCGGTGTGAGAAGCCAAATCTGCAGCAGCAGCAGCAGCAGCAGCAGCAGCAGCAATCAGCTAGGACTTTTGCTTTTCCATAGCTTCGGGTGTACAGACAGCTGCTGCATGGACTGAGTGAACCTCACGTGGCATAAGCGCTGATGGCTTTTGCAAGAAGGGCCCCCGGAGTTACGATTTGTTTGCTGCTGCTGCTGCTGCTGCTGCGGGCTTGCTGCAGCAGCGACAGCTGCTGCTGCTGCTGCTGCAGCAGCAGCAGGTGCGTCTGGTGCTGCTGCAGCACTGCGCACAAGTGGGGGGCCCCCGCCTCGAAGAGGCCCTGGTGGGAAATGCTGCAGCGGGCAAATGCCCCCAGCAAATGGCACCAAGACACAAAGTGATAGTAAGCAGCAGCAGACTTTGCTGCTGCTGCTGCTGCTGCTGCTGGCCTGCTGCAGCTGACGGCGGCCTGCAGCTTCGGCGGCAGCGCGAAGAACCGGCTGCTGCTCGCAGCAGCAGCGTCAGTGTCTGCTGCTGCTGCTGCTGCTGCTGCCGAGTCTGCGCAGTAATCTGCTGCTGCGAGCATGAAGCTGACGGACGGCACAGCAGCGCCGCCAGCAGCAGCAGCGTCCCCGCCGCCGGCGGCAGCAGCAGCAGCAGCAGCAGCAAAGGAGCAGCAAATGAGAGACAACTCCCCAAGAGAAAAAGACTGCAGATAAATGTGTGCTGCTCTTTCTGCTGCAGCAAATAGTCCCAAAGGATAAACCCGCATTTGCTTGAAGCTGTTGACAAGCAGAGACAGACACAAACCGATGTTTGCCACATCCACCTGCCACGCTGCTGCTGCTGCTGCTGCTGCTGCGGGCGCTGCTGCTGCTGCTGCTGAGGACGCCTGCTGCTGCCGCTGCGTCAGCAGCAACATGATCTCCGCCACATCGCTGCTGCGGCACACCGGCAGCGCCCTGACCCGGGACCTGCTGCTGCTGCTGCTGCTGCTGCTGATTGGCAGCTCAGTGTGCTGGCCAGCAGCAACGGCCTGCAGCAAAGACTCTGCTGCTGCTCCTAGCTCCCGCCAAAAGGCAGCATCGTGGAGCTGCCGCTGCAGCGCAAAGCGAGCAGCAGCAGCAGCAGCAGAAAGGTGGCATGCAGGAATCACTGGGCCACGGGTTGGGGCGCCTGCCGCTGCTGATGTTGCTGCTGCACCTGGTGTTGCTGCTGCAGCTCGTGTTCCTGCTTGTGGTTTTGCTGCTGCAGCTCGTGTTGCTGCTGCAGCTGATGCTGCTGCCGCAGACAAGGCGGCTGCTGCAGTTGAGCTGCAGCGCCGTTGGAGGGCAGCTGCTGCTGCGGCACCGCAAAGCGGCCCCACAGGAAGGCATATTCGTCTTCCTTGCTGCCGGCTTGCTGCAGCAGCAGCAGCTGCTGCAGGTGCTGCTGCTGCTGCGTGTGGCGCTTGAGCAACGGCACAGGCGGCTACTGAACGGGTGACCGCTGCTGCAGCGGCTGCAGCAGCGCGGCAGCGGGCACGTGCTGCTGCTGCTGCTGCCGCAGCTGCTGCTGCAGCTGCGGACTGCATTGGGGGACTTCCATTGAGGAGGGCACCGGGGGCCCCTGGAGGCCCTTCTCGAGCCTCCTGAATCCTACACTGCAGACCCTAAACTCCAAACCCTAAACCCTAAACCCTAAACCCTAAACACTCGCCCCGGGAAAGTAGGCGCCGTTCCTTGAGCCCTTTACCTTGAAAACTTCGATAGAATTTCCTGCCAAAGAAGCTAGCTGCTCCTAAACTGCAGCAGCAGCAGCAGCAGCAGCAGCAAGACACTACTTCACTGGCCCAGGGGCCCCTAGGGTCTTGGGGGGCCTCAGCTGCTGCTGCTGCTGCTGCTAGTGCTGCTGGCGCTTGACAGAGGTAAAGAAAAGGAAAAGAAATAGCTATTACGTTTGGGTTTACAGCAAACGTTTTTGCTGGAGCTTGTATAATCTAGCTGCAGCAGCAACTGCAGCCGCAGCAGCAGCAGCAGCAGCAGCGGCAGCCTCAGCAGGGGCCCCTAGGCGTTGTCACACTGGTGGCTCTGCTTACTCTTAGAGCAACAGTTGGGACTTGACCATATTCTTGGCTGAATCTATTATGTTTTTAAAACCTGCATTACATTTTTAAGGTACATTTTGGCTTGTGGAGCAGCAGCAACAGCAGCTGCAGCAGCAGCAGCAGCAACAGCAGTGCCGGCCCCGCAGCAATAGTTGCACGCCTTCGAATCTCGTTTTACCGCTGCCTCTGTGGCCTCAGCAGCAGCAGCCGCAGCAGCAGTAGCAATAGAACTTATTTTGCTGCCTTTGGGCTTTCCAGGTCTCCCCGAACTCCCCGCACCTACGAGGCAGCAGCATCGAGACGGCCTGGGCAGCGCAGCAGCAGCAGACCCTGCAGCAGCAGCAGCAGCAGCAGACAGTGTTTCTCCTGCAGCCAAAACTGCAGCGGCTCCGCAGCAGGTGCTGCAGCAGCAGGGTGGCCCTACCCAACCTTGGCAGCCCCCCTACATCCCCGACCAGCAGCAGCAGCAGCAGCAGCAGCAGCACGGGCTGCCTCCTCATCAGCAGCTCCTCTCCCCTCCGCACCTATAAAAAAAGGCGCATCACCCTGCTCCCGGTCCGAAGCCGCGCCCGCTCCACCAGCAGCAGCAGCAGCAACGCCAGCAGCAGCAGCAGCAGCAGCAGCAGCAATGGCGACTCCGCTGATTCCGGGGGAAGTG